TGGAAAGAAAAATCTTATAAGTAGCAACAGGGGAAAGGATCAACAGATTTGATTGTTGAGGTTTAAATGTTAGCCTGTAGACCTGGTCTTCTTTAGAAGGAGTACCATGGGATTTCGAACATCTATCCTAGTAATGCAATGCAAGGAAAGAAAGCGCCTTTGATTTAATTATCCTGTACAGAGTGGATTTTGGTCAATGGCTGCCCACAGTCTCAACAAATTGGAGTGTCAGCCTGGTCACAAATTCACACCCTTGTGTGAGACTCGAACATTCTGATTCAAAGATATGAATGTGAATGAAAGGTGCTAGAAGACCTCAGGCACAAGAGGCAAAAAGCTTTGATGGAGATCAGTAATTTTTTGACACGCCTGACTTTTCTTAAAATAACCAACCCAATATTAAATGGTCAGTGAGATGCCCATATTCCAACATGGTTTCAGGGCTGTGATTTCACAATGACTGCTGGAAACTAATGGCTTTTAATGACATGTAACCATCTCAGTGATGTTACTGCTTTGGAATAATGTTAGGAGTCCACATCACTTTACTTAATAACAGGCATACGTTACAGTGCTTTGGCCTCACACAGAAAGCACAAGAGATGTAAATGATAAAGAACAATCATAGAAAGAGTACAAGACGAAAAGAAACCGTTCCGCTCATTGGGTCTCAGCCAGTTCTCTGTAAGTTTGTTTGTTGCTCTATGGCACATTAACAATATTTCATGAAATCTGGATGAGGTAATGTAACCAATAACTGAGGGAAAATATGTAATGGTGGCTCATGGGCTAATTATAGCTCTGCAAATAGTGCATTGTGCATGCACCGATGGAGTTGGAATAGTCAGAGTCATACAGCACAGAAACAGACCCTTCGGTCCAACTCATCCATGCCGACCAAGTTTTGCAAAATAAACTAGTCCCACTTGCCTGTTTGGTCCATATCCCTCTAAACCTTTCCAGTCACGTACCTGTCCAAATGTCTCTTAAATGTTGTAACCGTACCTGCATCTATCACTTCCTCTGGCAGTTCATTTCGTGTATTAATCACTCTGTGCGAAAAAGTTGCCCCTCGGGTCCCTTTTAAATCTTTCTCTTTTCAGCTGTTGAACAAGCCAATTTGATAATGACCAGACATTTTAATTTCCTGATATTGGCTGAGGGATAAGGGACACTGGAGAGAACACCGCTCCACTTTTTTCCAGTTGTGGTAATGAACTTTTACCATCCAAAAAATGGAAAGTTTGTTTAGGAAGCTTGAACGTTAACTGTGAAGAAGCTGAAGTGGAGTGAGATTAGCCAGCTCAGCACTGACCAGAACTCAGCCCTGGGACTGCCAGTTGGAAAAAAATGCCAATTAGAAAATCATCAATGGACAATGTGCAACTTTCAGCCAAGTACTGATGTCAATTAACACACACACCACAGCAGAGGTTACCTGATAGCATTAAGCAGCAGCAGGAAAGCTTTGGATGACTTCTTCTTCCTAAGTAATGGCTACTGGAACCAATTGTAGCACCTATAATGCCAGCCATACAGCATCGGATACCTCATCAGAGACTTTCTACACTCCCAGATACTCAGTGTTTTTACCAGTTGATTGATCCAGATAAAGAGAGGACTGTGCTTTGTAAATCATCAGTTCCAGTGAATTCGAATTTTAGGAATTGATTTGGACCTTCCTTTCTTAAAACTAGTGGGGTTTAGACCAGATTGTGACGTGTCATTTCATCGGGTGGCAGGATGATGCAAATGTGATGTGATGAAGTGGTTCGACTGAGGGAGACAGAATGAATCAGTGGAAAACCTGAGGGAAATAAAACGTTTTCAAAATAAAAGCAAAGAACAATTCTGGCAGAGGTTTAGTCAATGCAGAAACCAACAAGGCTAGTTCACAAATTTGTTGAAACATTTGTGGTTTATACAAACTTCACTCAAAAAATTAATAGACAAAAAGTAATGGTTACTAACATACAGTAAATGCTGGGAATGTGTTGACATCACAGCTGCATGTATGCACGGAATTATTCCCTCGCTACCCCCTTCAAACACAATATCACTGTCACTAACCCCTTCATGTTTGGACATTTTTCATCACTTCGCCCTTTTTACTCAAGGGCTCTCTCACCTTCACCATTTACCCTTACCACTTCACATGGAGCTTCCCCATTACTACCAACCTGCCACTTACTGTTTTATTGCTTAGCCAATATTAAAAAAAACATGTAATGGGCTCTGTTACAACTGCATACTCAGGCAAATCATAGCTAATCACATTTTTTTGCAGGTAGGTATAAATTAAATAATTCTTCATCAATAATGCCCCACAATAAGGAACCAAACTTCCACATGGCATCAAAATTTTTCATACATAACATTCCTATCAAAGTCATTAAACTGTGAGAGTAGTGAGGTTTATGTAAGCATTCTGCTTTTAACTTTAATGTGACAACATGCATTGATATAGCACCCTTCATGCAACATCCCAATACATTTCATAGGAGTGCAATCATACAATTTCATACCAAGTCAAAAGGGGTGTACATTCTATCAGGACGATAGATTCTTGGTTGAAGAGAGAACGGAGATGGAGAGGAATAGGGAGGATTTCAGAGTCTTGAGAGCACATTTTAAAAAAAGCACATTAATTTGAGTCCAGTCATGGCTTTCCTAGAAACCAGAGAGCAGGGTAAGATTAAGCTGCATTCTTGTATCAGAAATAGTACACTATGTAATGCACTAACAGTGCTTTATTTTACATAATTGTAAAATCCAGATAGAATAACCGCAGCAAACAAGCCTTACATACTTGAGACACATTCTGCCCATATTAGCTCATAGCATCCTTTGTAATTTGACTGGCAGATGCTCTTCGTAATTATAGCCTTGGGTCCGGTCCAGTCAGAAGTTTTGCGGCTTTCATTTCCTATTTGTTAACAATAATAGCAGCCAAACTTGCTCTTTTGAAAAAAAAAAGGAATATCTCATTTTCTCTATAATTAACAACCCCCCAACAAAAATTGTGGGAAAGTGATTTTTGAACGTGCTGCTAAGTGAACAACATTCTTCTATTTTTCATTAAAAGACTGATTTTACCATGTCAGGACCCAAGATGCACAACAACTGGGCTAGCATGTGTTGAAATATTTGCTGGTATATACTGCCACTTCAAGGCAATATGACCTAACTGCACCTAACAACACTATCCATTACTTCACAGACCCAGAGTATTATTTTCTCCTTCCTCCCTTTTTAAAGAAGCTAAACTTCTGCCAACAATGTCATAGGTTAGATTTTATGCTTATGTGTTCTTGCAGGAGAGAATTATCTTCTATACACTGGACACATCAGTTCTTTGGTCGAATACACTGTGTGTAACCCTGGCCTCTCACAGGCACAAACCATTCAAATTGAAAGAAGGGCACACCAAGATTGATCATACACCATTGGTACGTACAACATTGTCCTTCATGTTACAATTTCAAAACTCTACAGACAAGAGTTAATAGTCACGTTAGGTTCAGAAAAATCGCTTATGCGTTGTACCCAATTTCAGAACCGATACTTCCACCACATGCAGAGTAATCAGCTCAACCAACTCAACAAGTCAACAACATTCAGCCTCATGGGATGCAGAACAGAAAAGTGTTGGTGTAGCCCTTTTCCTTACATGGTTCAGGTTTTCAATTAAATACTTTAAGGATGAAATTTAAATGCATTTGACTGCCTATAAAGATGGTGTTTAATTTTTAATTCAATTTTATCCTTTTTTCAAAATATTCTGTTGAACACCTTCATGTTACCTCTGAATTTATCCACGTTTGTTTCCAGGTTACTGTTGCATATTTTAACTGGAATACTTAGCCAGACAAAGCTAAGTGATTTCACAACCCAACAGATCAAATCTTAGCTCTGCAGTTCTGCCAAATCCAGTCATCAATGGTGGTGGATAAATAAACGACTCATTGGAGGAGGTGGCTCCACAAACATATCCATCACCCAGCACATCAATGCAAAAGATAAGGTTTAAGCATTTGCTACAATATTCAGCCAGCAGTGCTGAATCAAGATCCATTCTGGCCTCCTCTAGAGGTTCCCAGCATCACTGATGCCTGTTTTCAGTCAATTCAATTCACTCCACGTGATATCAAGCACTGGCTTTTTGAAGGCAGAGGATACTGCAAAAGTTGTGGGCCATTACAATATCCCTGCAATAGTACTAGAGATATGTGCTCTAGAACTTGCAGTGCCCTTACCAAGTTCTTCCAGTATAGCTACAACAATGGCATCTTGTACAGCAATACAGAAAATTGTCCAGGTATTTCCTGTACACACAAAGCAGGTCAAATCTAATCTAACCAATTACCACCCCATCAGTCAACTCTTGATCAGCAGTAAACTGATGCAAGGAGCAGCATTGGCTTAGCAATAATCTACTTACTGACATCCAGATTAGGCACTGCCAAGGCCACTCAACCCCTGATCACATTGCGGCCTTGGCTCAAACATGGACAAAACAGCTCAACTCCAGAAGGGAGGTAATGGTGACTGCCCTTGACATCAAGGCCACATTTGCTTGAATGCAGCACCAAGAAGCCTTAGCCAAATTGCAGCTGTTATTCACCTGGTGCACAAATTGAATCCACACTACTGGTGTCACTCTCCATTGCAAATCAGCCATTCAGCAAATATACAGTCTCATCTGGGTCATCGCTGTCTTCCCTTTCATTATAAAGCAGTTTCCTGCAACTCCAGTTGAGGACTGAAAATTGTCAGGACCCCAAGTAGCTTTTATGTTTAGGTGGGGGTGGGGTCGGAGGAAAGGGTGCAAATTGGCAGGGTTGGTGATAGTGGGTGCAGACAGGAGGGGTGATTCATTGTGAGCAGGTGTCAAAATAAGCCAAACAGAATGGCAGGTTAGTACACACATTTATTTATTGTAATACCAAAATAAAAGCACCAGTACATAACAACCAGCAGTACTGTGCCAAAGTATCCAAATAAAACAAAATAGCAGCACAAGAACTTTCACTGTTTTTGTATGTGTTCAAATGAAACAAAACTGTTGGTATATCCAAGTGTCAAAAGTAACAAAACAGCAACATTATAACAGCAGCTACTATAATTAAGCTTAAAAGATGCTGGTCTGATCCTAACGATAAAATCTGGTTGTGTAGTTATTACAGCAGTGTATATTTCATCTCTGATGTGAGACATGAAGTGTTGACCGGTATTAAGATTTGATACAAACCACTGTGTTAAATCCAGCTTCGTACAAATACGTATTAGCAATAGGAACTGCACAATGTGATGTCAGAGTAGTAATTCTTTACACCAAAACATAACTCTGTTGGAGAAACTCTGGGAAATATTCTTTTAATTGCATGAAATTTTAAGGAGATGCTCAATTTCAGCAGCACGCAAATCCAGCCATTCTGGTTTTGGACCCAAGCAAAGGTTGCCATATCTAAATCTGGGGAAAAAAGGATGCAAAGTCTATCTTCAGGTGTCTGAGATGGTTGGTCATCACAGGAATGGGACATGGTTTGATGCAATGTTCTCAAAGTCTCAGAAAAGGGGTGCAAATACTCAGTAGTTCAACTTCAGCATGGTCCTCTTCCAGAATGCAATTTTCTTCACAAATGCTTTAAGCCAATCACAAGAATGTCTGTACTCTTTCCTTACATTCTGGTATGCCGTTCATTTAGCTTCCCAAATATATCGTACATGCAAGGACACACATCATGTTTCGATCACAGAGGAAATCAGTCAATCAATTTTTTGCCAGGCATTTGAAACTGTAATCAGTTAATTCCTGTTCTTCATTAGACAGCACCTTCCAAACCAAACAGTACTAACATCTAGAAGTACACGATACAAGGGAACACCACCACGTGCGAGTTCCCATCCAAGGTGCTTGTCATCTTGACTTGGAAATATATTACCATTCCTTCAGTGTTGTTAAGTCAAAAACCTGGAACTCCCTCTCTAATGGTATTGTGGGTCTACCTACACCAAATGTGCTGTATTGGTTCAAGTTCACGACCACCTTCTCAAGGGCAGCTAAGGATGGGCAATAAATGCTGGACCAGTCAGGGGCACCCACTTCCATGAACAATTCATTAAGCAACGACCCAAATATTTCTGCAGCAGCCTTCCTCTCAACTAACAGTCGACCTCTGAAACAACACATCATTATGATCAGATTCTATGTTTGCACACAGCTTTGCAAACAGACATGCCAAAGGAGGCCAAGGTTAATGCAGCTCCCAGTGGATGTGACCTGGCATGAAACAGTGAGCCAGTTGCTCCCTGTGAATCCTGCACAGTCCAAGTAGCAGATGGAGCAATTCTCTGCACCAAAGCACAAAGGCCTGGCTTGCATCATGCCATTACTGAAGTGCCATCATACAGAATTCAACTAGACAGTTGTAAGGAACATTTCTTTCTTCCATGTAGCTATGTAACATGCAGAATATTCTCTGTGCATGTTTATGTTCAAGAAGTGGGAGTTAAACTGAATCAATACCTTCAGCAATACATCACACAAAAACTAATGATTATGCACCAGACCCTCTGCTTATCATCAATTTGCAGAGCAAAGGTGGGTGTAGATTTCAGGTGCTCCACCAGTGTTGACTCTTTAATCAGCTTCAATTGCCTCAATTCTCCACTTCATGGGGCTGTTTGAGAGAATCACACTTGCAAGTCTCTGTTTGTTCTGCCCAAAAACATTTTCAACCACTTTGATTACAGTGGTTAACAGCAAAGTTTCTGCAATTATGTGAGGCTATGCAATCTGATGGTTCACCTCAGATGATCCTCTTTTTGAGCACGTTCAGAGATGCTTACAAGCCTCAAAGACTGCTGCTGAGAAAGCTTCTCTTTCTGGCATTGGAAAAATGATTTCATTTTCCTGGTGTAATCCTCATGGTTGGTCTCCAAGTCACTTTAAATTATTTGGTCAGCATTTATAGGCAAATGAGGCATATTGGGATTTTTTCATATCTCAGTGTAACAGTCAAAGCCCCAAACTCGGGGAAATCACCATCAAATCCACGGACATGTTTCCTACTTTCTTATTTCTCAGTTCCGGAGGAGGCAGACGGCTCACTGCTAGTGGTGGAAGGGCTACTAAAAGATGTTAGTGATGTGAACAATGTGACAATACTGGTTCCCTGGATAAGCTTGCATCACCCAATCTAGCACTAAAAACACAAAGATCAGGAGGTTCTGGGTCCAATTTCTGATACTTGTTCGATTAGGTACCCCTAACTGTCAGCAGTGCTATCTTTCTCACTGGCACCAGGGTCATCAGGTTAGGGTGTACAAGAGCAGACTGATTGAGAATGATTGTGATGCCTTCCTTTATACAACTTTGCATAATTACTGCTCAAAGTTCACCCGTGATACCTGAAGGAGAAGTGAGACTCCAAAAGCTTATATCTTCAAATAAACCTGCTGGGCTATAACCTGGTGTTGTGTTATTTTTGACTAAGGTTCTCTCTCACTCGCGCGCGCGCACACACACACACACACACACACACGGCTACACCGAAAGAACTGTTAAAAAACCTTGCTAGTTGCAAAGGGAAAGAAAACTTAAAGTGCGTGTGTGTTGCAGCTGCTGCTTGTGGCCACTCCTGCCAGGAGATCTGCTGTCAAGAAATGCAATGCTTATCAATGCTCACAAATTTACTGTAGCTCACTGGCAACCTCTCTGACATCCAACACAGAGGTCAACTGTTCGTTCTATTCTCTTCCACCTTACCCTCCGGAAGAGATTGCTACAGCTTTTCAGCTATGACCAAATAGCTAAATGCTGACATTTTCAAGTACCTTTTTATAAGTATTATGGTTTGTATATGTGCTTTTATTCATAAATTTTAGCATCCATATTTCAAAGGTCTCTATTGTCTTCCATAGATCTCAAAGTTTTGTCCAGCTTTGAGGTATAAAGGTAAAAGTGGATAGAATGTTGCATCACATTTTTTTTCCTTTGCTCCAAGCTTGAGTTTTCTTATTAACATATCCCTCATCTTCACAAAATTACTCATGGCTATCTCAAATCCTTCTTCTAACTTCTGTAATCATTTGTCTTAAACAGAGAAACTTATCCATTTATCGATTGTGACATTTTAACCTTCACGCCAGTTTCTTCTAATGGATTCCTTCTAACTGCCATTGCTTTTGCCTCTTGTTGTTCAGACTAAATCTATACTCACAACTTTTAGGTTTTACTTGATCCGTGACATTTTGTAGGGCCTTTTCCAATACAGTGCCACAATGTCAGCATACCATAAATTTGTTCTGTTTTTACCTCTAGATTTTTGCCCCTGGAAATAAATATAATTCACCACATATTTCTTCTGAGCACATATGTTCTATTTTTAATATATGCAATATAATTTCCCATTATAGTCATTCTAGATTATAACCAGATAGTCCCACTGTATTCAAGCTGTACAGTCTTGTACTATCATTTGTTGTAAAAATTTTTAACTTTCAATAACATTTTCTCTGTCAGATCCCAGCTCTCGTTCCATTTATTTTTGTCTGGGCTTGTGTACGTGACCATATTTTCCGTGTATTGCAACACCGACTTCAGAAACCTGCAAATGCAAATGCACTGTGTTTAAAAAAGACTGGTTTTCTTTTAAACCCATTCATTTAACAGCAATATAGAGCGGGTGACTCATTAAGGCAGGCAGTAAATCCACTCAGTATTAGAGAAACTTTTAGGGTAAACTATGACATTTACTTTCCAGAAAGTATACGTTCCGAATAATCACATGTTCTTTCCAACGTGGAGAAACAGAGGTATGTAAAAGAGTAGATACATCAAGCTCTAAAAGCAGCACAGTTAATTAAGGTAATAAAAAAGACAAATGGGATTATACAACAACCTCGATCAAATGCAGCTTTGATGGCAAGGGGCCAATATTCTCAAGTCACTTCTGGAATCCAGCTCTTTTGCCCATATTTGAACAAAGCTGTAATGAGATCAGTAGCTGAATGCCCTTGGCAGAACACAACTGGGTGTCACTTAGCAGTTATTGCCGAGCAGGTGCAGCTTGATAGCATTGCTGATGACACCTTCCACCACATTATTAAGAGAAAGTAGATGAATGGGACAGTAATTGGGCGGGTTAGATTTGTCCTGCTTTTTGTGTACAGGACATACCTAATTTTCCACAATAACAAAAACAAAAACATTTGTTTGTATAGCACCTGTACACGAGTGTTATCAAACAAAATTCAACATCAAAACACAGAGACAGGAGGCCAGGTGACAATAAGTTGTTCTAAGCAGGTGAGTTTTGATGAATATCTTACAAAAAGAGGGAAAAAAGATGCATAGATGTAATCAGGGAATAACAGAGTTTAGGGGTCATGCAGCTGAAGGCATGGCCACGATTGATAAATCTCCTAGAACTACAGGTTAGTAAAGGAAACTCATCTTCTGGTTTATGAGCCTGAAGAGCCTGCAGGGATCACCTCCCCAGAAAAAAAAACATGGAGCAAAAACTACTGCTGGAAAGGTTTCCTCATTCTGGTTACAAGGCTACCAACATGAAGATTTTTAAAAACTAAAGAGTGCCAATTACTTCTTTTTTTTGCTATTTCAGTTTAATAGATTGGTGTAGTGTAAGGAACCGTCATGTCAGCTAAATGAGAGCTGATGCTTTCTACAAATCCAACCTCCCCTAACCTCCTAGAAAACGAACACCTTCCAGTCTTTCCTATAATGATACTGATCGGACATCTCTTTCAAGGAGACAGGACACAGGATGGGCTAAAAGGCTTCCTTCTGTGTTCCATCAATTTCAAACTTGATAAAGAGAGACATATTTACAAAGGCTTTACATTTTGCATTTACCAGATCAAATCCAATAATGCCAAACTTCAAATAATCACAACATTTTGGAAAGTAGAAATAAAATGTGCTGACTGATTGCTAAGTCAACTACGATTGACCAAAGCATTGCCATGGACAAAGCAAAGGATATCAAAAAGGCTCAAGGCTTGAATCCATTCCTTGTGTTTGCATTGAATAGGGTCCCGAGGATGATGTGACATATATTCACATTGCAGCAACATGTCTCTCTGTTCAGCAATATCCTGGAATCTGTTACAGTGGGAGTTCCATCTCCAGGTTCAAAGAGAAAACCCATCACCATCCTCCTGAGTTCGTTCAAATGATATAAACTTCAGGAGCACACATAGGCCAAATGGGTCCTAAACTTACTCTACCATTCAATATGGTTTCCAATCTTTTAGTTCAATTCCATTTTCTCAATATATACCTATCTGCATTGATTCTGCACACAAAAATCAACATTCTTCGGTTGTGAATATACTCAGCAACTCAGTGTACTTGATCCTCTGAGTTAGTTAATTCCAATGTGGCCTGGCCAGTAATGCCAGTAAGCCCAAGAACAAATGCAAAACCAACATATTTGAATAAAAGCTTGCTGCAGTTCTGCGGTCATTAGACACAAAAGTGATGGGACAAAGAAATATGGCAATGAGCTCATTTTTAAAGCAATTCTTGGGTTTCCTAACAATAATTGTTTGTTACCTGGGTCTTAGGTGGCAACATGACAGAATCAATATCAGGCTGCAACCACCTTTATGATACAAGCCAAGAAGCGCTTAAATGGTCGGTTTTAAATTTTCTTTTATCTATTTGTGGAATGTTGCTCCTGGGCCAGCATTTATGGCCTATCCCTAGTTGTCCTTGAGATGGTGGTGGTGAACCATGTTCTTGAACCTCTGCAGTCCAAAGGGCAGCATGATGGCTCACAGTGCCAGGGACCCAGTTCAATTCCAGCCTTGGGCATCTATCTGTGTGAAGTTTGCATGTTTTCCATGTGCCTGCATGGGTTTCCTCCCACAGTCCAAAGACATGCAGATTAGGTGGATTAGCCATACTAAATTGCCCCATAAGCATGCTGACTAGATGGACTACAGGGATAGGGTGGGATGTTCACCGATGATTGAACAATGTTCAGCACCATTCGTGACTCCTCAAACACTGAAGCAGTCTGTGTCCAAATGCAACAAGATCTGGACAATATCCAGGCTTGGGCTGACAAGTGACAAGTAACAAGTAATATTCATGCCACACAAATGCCAGGCTATGACTATCACCAATCTAACCAACGCACCTTGACATTCAATACTGTTACCTTCACTGAATCGCCCACTTTAAACATCCTGGAACTAATCGTTGATCAGAAGCTCAACTGGACTTACCACATCAACGCTGTGGCTACAAAAGCAGGTCAGAGGCAAGGAATGCTGAAGCGAGTAACTCACTTCCTGACTCCCGAAAGCCTGTCCACCATCTACAAGGCATTGTGGAATACTCCCCACTTACCTGGATGGGTGCAGACCCAACAACACTCAAGAAGCTTGAAACCATCCAGGACAAAGCAGCCCGCTTGATTGGCACCACATCCACTCCCTCAACCACCGACACTCAGTCGCAGCAGTGTGTACTATCTACAAGATGCACTACAGAAATTCACCAAAGATCCTCAGACAGCACCTTCCAAACCCACGACCACTTCCATCTAGATGGACAAGGGCAATAGATATATGGAATACCACCACCTTCAAGTCCCCTCCAAACCACTCACCATCCTGACTTAGAAATATATTGCCATTCCTTCACTGTCGCTGAGTCAAAATCCTGGAATTTCCTCCCTAATGGCATTGTGGGTCAAACCACAGCAAGTGGACTGCAGAGGTTCAAGAAGGCAGCTCACCACCACCTTCTCAAGGGCAACTAGGGATGGGCAATAAATGTTGGGCCCAGCCAGTGACGCCCACAGGCCACAAAATGAATTTTAAAAAAATTGGGCAGATTGGATTTGTCCTGCTTTTTGTGTACAGGACATACCGGAGTGATTTTCCACATTGTCGGGTAGATACCAGTGCTATTGCTGTGGTGGAAAGCTAGTTTGGCTAAAGGTGCAGCAAGTTCTGTGGCAGAAATTAGGGGGCGGCACAGTGGCTCAGTGGTTAGCACTGCTGCCTCACAGCAGCAGGAACCCAGGTTTGATTCTACCCTTGGGCGACTGTCTGTGTGGAGTTTGCACATTCTCCCTGAGTCTGCATGGGTTTCCTCCGGGTGCTCTGGTTTCCTCCCACAGTCCAATGATGTGCAGGCTATGTGGATTATTCATGCTAAATTGCCCACAGTGTTCAGGGATGTGTAGATTAGGCAGGTCATAGGGGACAACAAGGTGCAGGGCTGGATGAACACAGCAGGCCAAGCAGCATCATAGGAGCAGAGAGGCTGACGTTTCGGGCCTAGACCCTTCATCAGAAAAGGGGGAGGGGAAGGGGGTTCTGAAATAAATAGGGAGAGAGTGGGTCTGGGTGGGATGCTCTGAGGGTCGGTGTGGACTTGTGGGGCCAAAGGGCCTGTTTCCACACTGTAGGGATTCTACGATTCTATGAAATCTTCATTATTATTTCTGGAATGTCGTCACAGCCAACAGCCTTTGCAGTATATCCAATGCCTCCAACCATTTCTCGATATCACAAGCAGTGAATCAAATTGGCTGAAGTCTGGCATCTGTGATGCTGGGGCCCTCTGGAGGGCACCGAGAGGGATCATCCACTTTGCTGATGAAGATTGCTGCAAATGCTTCAGTCTTTTCTTTTGCACCGTGTGCTGCCTCCACCATCACTGGGGATATTTGTGGAGCTTCATCTGCGAGTAAGTTGTTTAGTTGTCTCCCATCATTTTTCACCAATAGATGTGGCAGGACTACAGAGCTTATATCTTATCTGCTGATTATGGAATTGCTTAGCTCTATCAGTAAAGTACCACATTAGAAACGAGACCGGAAGCAACATTTTTAGATTCAATACTGTGTTTTGTAATGGCCTAACTTGTGACATTTTCCTGTAGGCTGCAGTACTTACTTCAAGTGGCGGTGATATTCAGAAGAAGTCTCATCCACCATTGTCTGTGCATTAAGCAGTTCCACTGCTACAAGTAGAGTAAGTAGACTGAAAATGTGGTGCAAGTACTGGACACTGGAAAAGATACCCAATCCTGACACTGAGCAAATCGATTTGAAATGTTAGCATGCTCTCCACACACAATTTACCAAGATATTCTGGGAGTAGCATAGGGTATGAGGAAGTAAAATGGAATAAAAGCAAAATATCGTGCACGGCAGAAATCTGAAATAAAAACAAAAATGCTGGAGAAACTCAGCAGATTTGGCAGCACCTTTGGAGAAAGTAGTCTACTCTTTTACCTGCTCATTTGGAACTACCTGTCAATTTGATTTAACAATTAAAAATAATAGGACTTCTGATGCTTTCAGTACCACGCCTAAATTTGTTGTGCTGGATAACTTGGATTTTTTTTTGAGGAAAATCCCATAAGAATTAAAAGAAAAAAACTGTGCACTAACAAGTACGACTCACACACACAGAGGTGTGCAAATCTCTGGTACTGTTCCTGGTCATGGCAAGTTGGAGCTTGCATTATTTCACAACAAGAGCAAAAGTTGTCAACAAATTGCAACAAGAACAAAGGAATAAGAAAATGTGTTTGCATGTTATAATATAGAATGTAGTATAGATATCTGTAAAGTAACTCATATTTACACATATAGATGCATGTCCACATACAATACACACATGCATAACGTATGTACAGAGTGCGGTGGGTGTGGAATAAAGACAAAAACGCAGATGACAACCATCTCCTGCAGTTGAAAGTTAAACAATATGATAACCCATACATGGCCGATGGGGAAATTCACTAATTAATCTCCATGTGATGGTCATTGAGTATGAGTTTCCTTGGTTTAAATTAAAAAAAAAATCAGACCCAGGAGATCCTCTTGTGGTGCAGTGGTAGTCTCTCTACCCTTCATCTGGGAGGCCCAGGTTCAAATCTCAACTGCTCCATTAGATGCATAATAACATCTATGTGATTAGAATAATAGGTTACATTGTCTTTTTTTATAATTATAGACCAGACCCAGAAGACTCTTGTGGCACAGGTTACTGGTCCTAACCCTGTGCTAGAAAGTCTACGTTCATATCCCACCTGTACCCAGAGATGTGTTACACTATGTTTGAATAGGTTAATGAAAAAAATGTCTTTAGTTGTGTGTTTAACATGTATGTGGGGTGTAGCTGCATTTTTAGGCCCTCTTATGGTGCCGTGGTAGTGTCCCTATCCCTGGAGCAGGAGGCCTGGGTTTAAGTCCCACCGGCTCCAGCGTTGTGTAATAACACCACTGAATAGGTTGGTTAGAAAAATAGGTTAACTAAACAAACTAAAAAAGTAGACCCAGGGACGGGTCAGTAAAACTGTCTATCCTAGGCTGGGACCAGTCTACATACACCATGAGCAATGGCTCTACTTTGGTGTTCACAAAAAATTATTCTTTCCAGTTGGGCTTCCTGAGCTATTATACAATGGCTAGTATTTTTTAATACAATCACAGCAAGGGCAACTTTTTTACGCATAGGGTGGTGCATGTATGTAATGAGCTGCCAGAGGAAGTGGTGGAGGCTGGTACAATTACAACATTTAAAAAGCAGCTGGATGGGTATATCAATAGGAAGGGTTTAGAAGAACATCAGCCAAATGCTGGCAAACAGGACTAGATTTATTTAGGATATCTGGTTGGCATGGACAAGTTGGACCGAAGGGTCTGTTTCCATGCTGTACTGTTCTATGACTATATGACTATGAAAAGCAACTGCGTATAGGATATTTAAGTATTTGTTGACCTTTTTGTTGATTTAAGATGGTCCTTCCCTGCCCTGAGCACAATTATCAATGCCTTCACTTTGAAAAAAGGAATGCTTACTTTGAGTCCCTTTTGGTCATGGATATGACTATGTAGTGATGCTGTTAATAAGGTCATTAACTAGACTTGTGCTTTCTGAAACTGACTTGGAAATAATTAGACAGAGAAAAACACAAGATTTCCATTCAGCTCATCGTGGCCACGACAGACAAGGTCTCAACAAGTTAACCAACAGCAAGAGTGAAAAACAGACAAAAAGGAGGAAACTGAAGAGAACAGTAGAGCGACAGAAAGGAGCAATTGATTTACAATAATGTTGACTCATCCATGGGGATATGACCTCCATGTGGGATTTGTGACCACATTTTGGAAAGGCAAAGGGAAAGAGGCACCTGTGATTTTTTTTTTGTATATCTCCAATGTATTCAAGAAAATCGACAATTTCACTGTATTCAGTATTTACAGTATAATGGCTGGTAACTGACTGAAATTCTTCCGTGATATGTGCCCTGACACAAGATTCAAATTGGGCCAAATCACTGTTGTATAGGTAGGTAGAGTGACAATACGTGTTACCCTTATTCTAAATTCTATTTAGTCAATTCTAGTCATTCAGGCTGGTCAATTCTTGTGTTAGTATTAGACACAACTGCTCAGGGGGCTCTATTTTCAAAGGAGTCTCTTTTGTATTTTTGAACTAGATGACTGCCAAAATAATAGTCAGTGAGCTGAAATAACTTCAAAACATTAAAAAACCTTGCATCAAAATCTCACCTGCCCAGCATTCGAAGATAATTCTGCCTTTGCCGTGAGCGCAGAGATTTGCTCAGCCACTGTTGGTGGCGAGACACAGCACCATGCATAATCTGCTCTGAAACAGTCAGGCATTGCGAGGTAATTTTTCTCAGCAACGACACCAATTCCAAAACAACACGTGAGCAATACAAAGTGCCGATGCGGTTGGCCAGCAGTTTAGCTACCAGATGAAGCTGCCTGCAATGAGAAGCAGCATCTTCAGTTAATTCTGCAACACTGTGAACATTTCTCACATCTATTGCGAAGAGCTTCGAAAGGGTATGAGAACATTCATTTATATAGTCTCTTATGTGGCAAAACATCCCAAAACACTTCACAAAAGTGTTACCAAACAAAAATTGACTTGGAAGGTGAGGTGGTGTCATGACAGGTAACTGTAAGCTTGGTCAAAGGGATAGGTTCTGGGGGTGGCGTAAAAGGCGAAACAAACAGACATGATTAGGAAGTTGAGACAACAAGGTGCAGGGCTGGATGAACACAGCAGGCCAAGCAGCATCATAGGAGCAGAGAGGCTGACGTTTCGGGCCTAGACCCTTCATCAG